TTAACAAGTTTACCCATTATCAAAAACTTTTCGACATGGTCAAAGTTATTTAACATTCGATTATTTCTTGTAACTTTTAAGCGTTGCTTTTAACTTTCGTCATTTCGTTTCTGACCATCAAAGTTAAAGAATAGATTTCACCGGAGGTAGACTTTGCTAACTATCTTTTCATTTTGCTTTATATACCTGGCGTAACCACTGCCTCATTCATCGCTACTACTGGGGCATTGTCTTGCAATATTGCATATTCTGCCCAATTCCGCACAAGAGCAGCTATTCATTTGGCAAGTCGGCAGTGGAAGGTCGTCACCGAGCAGAGCAGCGAGACCAACGCGAGCCTCGGACCTTGGCGGTGCAGGAGTCATTGAGTCAAAGTAACGCAACAATGGCCACACAATGATCGACGCACTCATTACGGAAAAAGAAGGAAAGAGAGTGAGAAACTGCCACTGTTGATGTAAGCTGTACGTTGAGTGGAGTGCGCGATTCGAGTGTACAGCGCCAAGAACCACGCCGACTGAAGGAGCCATTTTCTTGGCGCATCCTTGAGTTGACTTGCCTGCCAACTATACAAGCGATGTGACTTCACTCGTAATTGCCCACCCCGATCACTCAGGGATTCATTTGTTTTTTCATTTTATTTTTTAACTAGCTGGCCCTCAATCTTTAACCGTACGGCACTGTTGCTCTTAATTTGTTTTTTCATTTTTAATGTAAAACGGATGCAAGAAATGATCAAGCGTGTTTGAGAAAAAACTGGCAGTGTTAGTTTTTGTTCATTTGTTTGTTTCTCTCATTTGCCTCAATTCTGTTTGTCAATTATGTTAGCATTGACATTTCTCGATTCACCATTAAAGGGATGTTAAAATTCTAAAAGTAGTCCAACACACACAAGTTCCAGTTGTATGCTTTCAATGAGGTGTACAAATGCGTGGCCGAGTTCAACACTGCTTAAATGACCTAATTTGACAACATATCTAAAGAAGGTACAATAAAGTGGAAAGACATTTCCTCGAATAGTGACACTTTATGACATTCAAATAAGTTGATTATTAGGAAGGAAAAACTACCGTTGTTGTTTTCATTTAATCATGCTCTCTTTAAGAAATACAATGCTAATGTACCTCTTCTTCTTCTTCTGCAGAGATCACTCTCAACCCAAATGACTTCTTCGCAAACAATACCAACGACAGCTCGGCTGCCGAGATCGACCTGAGCAGCAAATCGACTGAATCGGAGCAATCCTACAGAAAAGCTCATAACGGGGGGTTGCCCTCCTCCTCGACGGCAGAGAATGGAGGCAGTGCTGGAGGAAGAGAGGTCAGCACATCTTCCAATGGATTCAGCGTCTCCTCGTCCTCATCCGCCGGGGAAGCTGCCAGTGGTGCGGCTGGCTCTGCCAGTTCAGCAAGTGGTGGCGGAGCTGGTGGTGGTGCCCAGCCGCAAACTGCAGCAGCGGCGGCGGCGGCTGCAGCCATTCTGGCGGGCTCTCTGCACTCGCTGCCCCCGCCGAGTCTGCCGGGAATGCCGGGCACAATCAGCAACCTGCGCATAGCCCTCTCCTCAAAGAAGCCCAATGTGCCCTCGACGATGCTGGCGACGATAGCGGCCGCCAATGGACTGAACATCAACATGGACGCCATCCGGCCGCACAAGTGCCACTGGCCTGACTGCAAGTTCGCCACCAAGGACCGAAAGACGCTGCGCACCCATATGCGAATCCACACCAAGGAGAAGCCCTTCAAGTGCTCATTCCCCAACTGCAGCTACGAAACGGGTGATCCGTCGAACTACCGAAAGCACAAACGACGACACATTGCGCACACCATTTTTGCCTGCGACTTTGACGGCTGCAACTTTACCACGAACAAACCCGACTTTATGCAGAGCCACATTGCCATCCACAAGGGGTAAGTGCTCGTGTTTGTTGCGCACACATGTCGTCTCTTCATGTTTTTTAACTCACTGACATCTCTTCCCTAGACTGAAGCCCTTCCTCTGCGACTTTGAGAACTGTGCCTCCTCCTTCTACACTCGCTCAAAGTTGGAAGCCCACCGGCGCAAGCACCTGGCATCGGGTGAATTTCCAATGTCACTGGCGCACATAGACGAGAAGGACAAGCCCATTGTGTGCACGTACCCCAACTGCGGCAAGCGATTCATCAACGCCGCCGGCCTAGCCAGCCATGAAGTGACGCACCTGGCGACGCACAACAAGTACGGCGCATTTCTGGCAGAGCACGAACGCGAGAAGCCGGTCGTCTGCAACTTTCCCAACTGTGGCAAGCGCTTCCTCAACACCGCCGGTCTGGCCGGCCACGAGGTGACCCATCGCAACTTTATCAGCCAGAACATGGGCGCCATCTTTAAGAATCTGAGCTTCAATCAGCTGAAGACACTGGGCATCTTCTCGGTGGCCAATGCCAAGGGAGGCGGAGGAGGAGGGGGTGGTGGTGGTTCGGGCGCCTCTTCAGTCGGCGGCGGTGGGCCGCAGTCCTCGCAGTCGAGCAGCGGCGCCAACAGCAACAGCAGCTCGCCCAGTCCCCAGCAGATGCAGCAGTACCAACAGGCGATGCTGGCCGCACAAAAGTCAGCCGAAGAACATTCGACAAAGGAGGCCAATGGACAGGTCATCGTACTCGACATTTGAGCAGAAGAGATCTTCCTAAACTGCCTTCTCAAATCACCACAGCCCCTTCCGTCTCTTGCTTAATACTCTCTCTCTCTCTCACTTTCACTCTGTACAGCATCACTACTTATGACGGATAGCTGGTATCAGTGGGTGACTGTGGAAAGCCACCACCAAAACGAATCCCACCTCGGCACTCCCACTCTGACAATCCGTTCCCTGACCACCACCTTCAGCATCATCCCCAATACACCCCTCTTACCACCAGTCACCGTCGAAAGNTTCTCTCACTTTCACTCTGTACAGCATCACTACTTATGACGGATAGCTGGTAGCAGTGGGTGACTGTGGAAAGCCACCACCAAAACGAATCCCACCTCGGCACTCCCACTCTGACAATCCGTTCCCTGACCACCACCTTCAGCATCATCCCCAATACACCCCTCTTACCACCAGTCACCGTCGAAAGCCTTTGATTTGGATGCATATGTTTTCTTAGCACACCATACCCTATACACCTCTATATTTATACAGCTTCACCCCCACCTTCGCCCCCATACGCCTCTCCTATTAACTTGTTGTTGTTGTTGCTATTGTTGTTGTTGTTGCTGTTGTACCTCTCCTGTACATACCCTCTAAAGCCCTATGCCCTTGTTGACCCATTTCAGATATTTACCATAGCCATTACTATTCACCTGCATCGTCCATACCACCACCACCACATTTTACTACCGAAAGTACACACAACCGCTTGTATAGAGCCCCATCCCACTGGTAGTTTCTACCCGCGCCTAGTTACTTGTACCCAAATCGGCGGTCCGCTCTGTCCACGGCCGTCACCTTCTCTAGGTTTCAACTAATCCAATCTGTTGTTATGTTGTTGCTCTCTTCTTGTTGACTACCTTTGTATATTTCCTCCCCTTTTGTATCTCGCCATTGCATTGTCGAAGATGAGCCAGCGGCTGTTGTTCTTGTTCTTGTTGTTGTTGGCCAGCCAGTTCATCAGTTGACAGTTGCAGCCCCCTTCGTTGACAGAGACCCGAGTCAGTATTCTTCTACTTTTATCTGTTGTTATACACTTGCAAGTTTTATCTTCTTCACTCCCTGTCCGTACAAAGAACACCGAACGTACAACTTTTATTTGTATACTAAAGATTTGAAATAAAGCCCTTTGTACATTTTATGATTCATATTTGATGTGTTATTTACAAATCAGTGTTTATTTTACCAAGCAGGCTCAAGAGGTGAATCTTTGATTTTAATAAAAAAAGGTTAGACGTGGGCTTGCAATAAAGGATTGGGGAAAACAGCATATTATCGACAATCAAGCTATTTGTGAATTTATGACAAGGTTGGTCTATTTCTTAATATCACCAATATCGTCGATGGCTTCTTCTTCAATTTCGGCCCACTTTTCCGGAATCACATCCCACAGATCGTCTTTTACGTCACCTTGGATCACAATTTCGTCTGCGCCTGTTACAGATGATCCACAAGCAAATCGAGATGCAAAGAACTTGCTAGCGTCTTTGAGATCAATTCCGAATGATGCTAGGCCAGTGACAACTGAAAAGTGACCAGTTTAAAGTTAAAAATACGGATATTAAATGTGTTATCTTACCTGTTACGTATTTCTTTTTGCCTCGATTTGCCCGAGCCAGTTTAACAAACCTCTCGCCAACTTCCTTCTTTTTGGGCTTCAACAGCGCCTTGCCTCCTCGTTTTTGACGGCCCTTCTTGCTCTGCTCATCATCTCCGTCCGCTTCACCATTATCACCATCTGCGTATTATAAAAATTTATAAAAATAAACTGTGCAAAGTGGCTGTTTTTATACCGTTTGTATACAACTGAGCGAACATGTCGGGTAAAGTTTTTTCAAGCCATTCTTTGCATTTTGCAAAGTTTGAATAGTATTCACAAAACTCCAGAGGCATTGAGCATTCTACCAAAGATATAATTAAGTTACTTAAATCGTTAAATTAATTTTAAAAAGCGGTAACAAACCTCCACAGTATTGTACTTTAAGCGGATACTGAATGCCTTCAATTGGTCCATTTGGCAGCGTTTTTGGCACCCCAGCTGCACTCTCGACTTCTGTAGACATTTCGGCGGCTAATCAGATTGTTCAAACTGAAAATTTACTTAATGAATTCAATAAAAACTTGGTAATCAATAAACCAAAATCAGCCGGCCACGATGCAAAAGTTTTGTAAGCAAAAAATTTCAACACAATTACACTGGTCGTAAATGACGTGACGTAGAATGAAATTTGAATTTTTGAAAACCCGGAATTTTGTGGCAGTAAAAGAATTTTTGAAAATCATGACATTTTATACAAATTTAACAAAAAAAGGGTTTATTGTATTGTTTTAAACAAAAGTTAAAACACGTGATTGTTTAATAATGTTGCAGTAACTTATGATTTTTTTGTTGAACTGTTTTTTAATAAAAACGTGTGTAATTTTTGAATTAATATTGCGTTACGCAAAACGTTTTTTAAGAATTCGTATCTATTAATTAATTTTTTCTTTAACATATTTGCTACTGTATTCAAAAGATAAACAGAGACTTTGGCCAATATAAATCGTTTGCCAAATTGGCGATGCTAATCGAACATCGACAGTGTGACACTGATGCGTGTTACTCATATGAGATGGAAACGATTAGATTGTCTCTGACGCACTCAACACTAGGAAATCACCAGCAGCATCACCAACAACACAAAACACTGCAACAAATAAGTGATTGATTATTTCTTTCTGTTTGCACTGTTTTCACTAAATGAGTAGATCATCTTATCAGCTGAATAAGAAAATCACCAGCCAATGTGCTTCAGGAGCAGAGTGTGCACTGCCGCTTGGTGCGACTTGTAGAAATCCTCCACTATGCAAAAACCTATTTGTCAATATGTGCATTTTTTCAAGTGCTTTTTACTTTTATTAACCCTTCAAGTGATACTCCAAGTTCCTCCTAGTCAATGTTGGTCTCGACATGACATCTCTACATTACGACTTTTACAAATTGTCCATACTCATGGCGATAGAACGCCAAGGTAAGTTAGAGCATATCTAATAGCATACTGATGAATACTAACTGGTGCTTTCAAGTCACTTTGTACACAATGACCCATACTCCGATATGTCCCGCTTTTGGATAGAAGGTGTCAATCAACTGACCAGGAAAGGTAAGGCGAATGGTTTGTTTTGTTTATTGTGTTCATTTTCACTTTCATTTACAGGACGAAATAGAATGTTTGAAATAGGACAGTTTCTTAATGAAGCCTACAGTGACTTTTTGGCCAGGCGAACTGTTCCGATAGAGCAGTTTATGACTGTCCGCAGCTCTGGCTCGAGACGGTGTCTGGAGAGTGCCTCACTGCTGGCAACCGGTCTGCTTGGGCCACCTCGGCAAGAGCAACTGGGAAGGTGGGAGAACATGTCCGAGTACGAGCGACTGTCCACCTACTGGCAGCCAATTCCAGTCAAGTCCATTTACCCGAAAGGCACCGACCCTCTGCTGGACACCATTGCGCCCTGTCCTAATGCCGAGGCAGAGTTTACAGAGATGCAGTTTAAAAACGAAAAACTGCGCAGCATCTACAATGAAAACCGAGACTTTCTGGAGGAGGTGTCCATGTACGCAGGCGAGCGGATCAACAGTCTGAAGAGTGCCTATGACCTGTACCAGGAGCTGTTCATCGAGCGGCAGTACGACTACTACTGGTGGAAGGAGCCTTTCAATGTTTGGAGTGAAGACTACGAAGCTTATGCGGTCAGCAAACTGAGGGAGCTCTCTCGTCTTTACTGGTCGGTGCAGTACGACAACCGGTAAGGAGCAAGGCAAAGAACGCTTGAACTACCTTCCATTTAAACTAACTCCTCAATTATGTCACTAAAATAGAGTACTGCAGACACTTCGAATTGGACTACTGCTGAAGGAGCTGAACGCCAACATTGCCAATTACATCAGTGGAAGGGCCACCAGGCAGAAGGTGTTTATCTACTCGACCCAGGACACTAAAATCGCCCTACTGCTACACGCCTTTGCCATCTATAACGGCTACCTTGTACCTCCCGGTGCTTCTCTTCTTTTGGAGCTGCATCAAAGGCAGCAGTCAGACAGTGCCCAGCAGACAGCTGACCTAGACAGTTACTTTATTCGACTGTACTACTACAATGAAACGTACAGCTCTGACTACGCCTACCAAATGGCCTCGGAGAGGATATGCATTGGAGGAAAGCAGGGCAGCCAGAAGGAGAAACAGTCAAGTGGTAGTTGGCACTGTCCAGCGAGGCACTACCTCGCCCAAACCTCCACTCTGACGCCCTTTGACTGGCAGTACCAGTGTGGACTGAAGAAGCTCACCCTCAGCTACTTTGCCGTGAACATGTGGATTCTCGCCACTAATTTTATCTTTTTACTATCTCTCTTCATTGTACTTCGAATCTACAGTAGCTCAATCAGACAGAGATGCTCAAGACGGGCCTGAAACATTGCCTCTTTTCCTTTTGATCAAGATTGTTTTTGTCCTTTTATTTATGCAAAAAAAATGTAAATAATAATAAATAAATTTTTAACTATAGACAGAAATAATTTGCCAAACAAGGTGATGATGATGATGATGATGATGATGATGATGATGATGATGATGGCGGTGNTGTAAATAATAATAAATAAATTTTTAACTATAGACAGAAATAATTTGCCAAACAAGATGATGATGATGATGATGGCGGTAGTGAGCAGGAGCTGTCAGGACCCAAAAGCGTCAGCCGCAGAAAGTATTCTACCGGCAAGGATGATCAGTTCTCAAAAGCAACAAAACAAAATGAACATGTATAAAGTAAATGAAAAGTGTATATGAAATGGATATTTATGGTGAATCTTTTTACAGTCTAAAAGCTGGCGTTAAGAATATATAAAAATATTTTGCTTTTTAGAAATGTGTAATAATTTGATGAAGGCCTAGTTTACACCAGCTGAACGCGTTTTTCGTTGATCATCTCATCCAGTTCAGGACGCAATGACTCGGGAAGAAACTGCTTAGCACGCTCAAAATCTGATCTCTTCATTGTTTGACCAGCTTCGAGTTTGTCGAGGTTAAAAGCGAGACCCATTCTCTTGAGCACTTCAAAATCGTCATGAATTTCAAAGGTGTTGTCAAAGTTAAAGAGGTACTCTGACTTGTCGCGAGAAATGGAGCAATCGATGAGAGTTTTTTTGTCTGTGTTTACAATGATGAATGGCAACTTTATGATGGAATTTGAGTCGGGTGGGTTATCTTCTTGGTTTCGCTGGATGAGATTTTTAAAGGCAATTTGCTGGATAATTAGCTCACGCAGTTGCTGCTTCTTTGCCTTGATTCTCTCCAGTCGCTGCTTTCTTTCTTCCTCGAGCTCGGAGCACTCCTGCTGAGCATTGGTAGGGAGGCCAATCCACTTGATTTCCTTCTTCTCCTTTGAGATGATGTTGATGGCCATCAAAACATTGAGGGCGTCATACACACGCCGACGAATGTTTTTCTGGTCAAAGGGCTCTGCATCACTGGTTTGAAAGGAAGCTCGACTAGCAACTGGATCGGCGCTGAATTCGGCAACCAGCTCATCGGCCACTTCATTGTACGTGGTAGTGCCTTTATTTCGCACTTTTTCGCATACCTATTTTAAAAGTAATTTGTAAACAAGCTGCATTGACAAGGAGCAAAATATAACCGTACTTTCATGGAGAAGTGGCGTAGGCCTTTGCCAGTCTTTGAGTCTTGTTTGCGTCGCTTTCCGTTGTGCGAACTCATGTTGCTTTTAGAAAAAGTCTACTCGTAGAAGCAGACAATAAACAGTTTTGTTGACGTTGCTAAACGAGGGTCTTGAGAGGAGCGTAGCTGAACCACTGCCTATGAAATGTGATGACAAGTACACCGATGATCTGATGACTTCTCAGGTTGAAAGAAGGGCCCAAGCTAAGGGCATTTAAATGGCAGGTAAAGCTGTTCAATCGGGTCGAAATCTGCCAATCTTTAATTTGGGAATGCGTTTGGAGGGATTTTGTGCACGGTGGAAGGCGGAGCCTTTGGTAGACGTGATCGCAGACGACGTATTCTTTAAAATCGCAATTACTAAAATTGAATATTTTTGTAATCTAGAAACATGATTTACCTTTTAAAAGGCAAAATATTAATTGGGCAGTTTTGGGGCAGTTGTGGGTCAAAGAAATTAAAAAGTTAAATGTCCTTGACGCGGTCAAATGGAACCGCACAATGAGGCCAGTTGGTTTGCTCAAAATTGGCGCGAAATTGATGAAAGTAGAACTGTGACGCCACCAAACGAGCAAAACGTATACTAAAAAAACAGTGCGAGATGATTTTTTGTATCTCCATGTAAGTCTATGGAAAAAGATTTCTTTTTCATGGTGGATTAATAAGTGTTTCCAAGATATTTTGTTGTTAAATATAAGCTTATTTTATACAGAAAAACTTTCAGTTTAACATGTGTCTGGGTAAAACATTTACCTCAATTTCACCTTTTTAAAAATTAGTTTTTGTTTTAAATAAAAAAATTAGAGTTTTTGCGTGTTTGTAACAGCGTTTGTGAATGTTTTGATTCTTTGATTTTTTTGTCAGCATGTTTTGATTTCAGAAACATCAACAACAGTGTATATATAAAACATTTAATTTTTAAAGACCAGTTTGAAGCAACATGAACTCGGAAGAATTTCAGACGGGCGAGGATGTTTGCCATTCGCCTGAAAATGTACGTTCAATTTTTGTCGGTGACATTTACTAACAAATTTCTTTTAAATTAGGTTTATGATGAGGGAAATAGCAGCCCTGCCCAAAACAGTGAAGGAGATGACGATGATGAACTGGCTGCTGAATCAAATACCGAATCAGTCACCTCTGACCAGCATCAAACAGGCGACTCGGAAAAGTCTTATGCTCATAAAAACATCATTAATCGACGTGTATACGATGCCCTTAATGTTTTGATGGCCAAAAAGGTGCCTACCGTTTTAAATGACCCACCCACGCCAGCCTCTTCAGATGACAACGTTTCTACAACGCAAAGTACTGAGCACAAGTTTTTAAATGTACGAAAGAGAAAGAAAGTTGCCGAGGACCCCACAACAATGCCACTTTGTGATCGGCTATTTTTCAATCCGCCCCTCAACATTTTTCAGGCAAAAGAACGAGAAGATTCGAGCAAAAGTAATGATGATAGTAACCTGATGAAAGCACCTTTACCAATCGCTAAAAAACGAAGATCGAGCCGAACAAACAGTGCAGCCAGCCAATCAAGTCGTCGAAGCATAGACTCGATTGAAGTAGAAGAAAATATGTTGAAAAGTGGCGATGATACTTCAGAAAAGGACATGTCTTCAAATGATCAGCCACTTCTTGTTCTAGACGATAGTGGAAACATTGTCATAAGCAATCCTGGCTTAATGACGGTTGAAGATGATAAAAAGCCCGAGATAAAGATGCAATCTTCGACAACATACAACTCATTTCGTCGTCGTCAACGCCCGAGAAACACGTGGACCACGGAAGATACATCAATTTTTTACTATGCTCTAGAAAAGGTTGGTACTGATTTTTCCTTGATGGAAGCAATCTACTTTAAAAATCGTGGTCGTGATCGGAAGCAATTGAAACAAAAGTTTAAACGTGAAGAAAAAGTAAACCGCGAGTTTGTTGATAAGGTTCTTTTTAAATCCCTTTTAAACCAGTCATATCAAGCTCGGAGCCAATTGGTTCAGGAGCATGTTGGCGGTGAAACACCAGTCCGCATCGTTGAAAATGAAAGCACCAATACTGAAGAAGAATAGGTATTAGCAGCACTACACTCTTTGTTTTTCCTCTTCCCTACAATTACGAAAATTTTTTTGTTGTTTTTTGCTAGTTTCTAATTATTTTGTGCATCACTTATTTATATTTTGAGTGAAAATGTTATTGAATGTATAAAAAATAAAAATTGCATGTATGAAAAATAAAAATTGCATGTAAAAATGTT